CTTGAAAATGGGGATTACATTTCCCTTTTTCCAGTCATCTGAAACTTCACCTGACTGTTCACATGAGCCCACTTCTTAAGCTTCTCAAGGTCCCTCTGGATGGCATACTGTCCCTTAGGCATGATGGAAAGGCTCCATACAGTGGTACAAGAAGGAAAAAAAAAAAAAGGACTCATAAGAGGGAACTGCAATTAATTTTACAGCTTTGGGAACTAATAATGGGAACAATATTGCAAACACTTAAGAATTAGGAGCAGTTGCAGCAGATGAGAGAGAAGTCTTCCAGGAGGAAACACATCACAATGCACAGGAAGGGCAGTGTTTTAACAGCTGTTACTGAATAGCTGTTTAGAGGCACACACCAAAAATATTTGCTTCTTTGTCTCCATAGCTGGACTCTGCTTCTGCATTGCTACATTCTTCTCATTCCTCTCCCTTCTGGGAAATGAACTGTACTGTTTCTTAGAGCGGTTTAGCATTTTGTAGAACTGTCTGAGAATGATACAGGAGTTTTACTTCAACATAAATATATGAAGGATTTTTTTGGGAAGAAAATTTTTTACTTTCTTTGAAGGATTTGAAAATGATATGGTTCCTTTGTTTTGAGAACTGAATAAATGTTTTGTAGCATGAATTTGACACCTTAATTGAAATACTGTGCTGTGTATTCATTTCCTATGCAAGCGAAGACATTTAATTCAAAATTTAAATGTATGTGAAGAAACAAGTCATATATCTAGTTTTAGTCTTTCTTCCTGTTCTTGTGTCATCTAACTGTGAAAACCAATATTGTCCTTAATGGCAATCTTACATGTGCGAATGTGGAGAAAATAAGAGTTAGACTGATTACCTGAGTCTCAGTGACAGATTTGACCTTTTATTATGTATAAAATATTGGGGAAGTATGATGATAAAATTGGGTACAAAACAGCAGAGACGCATCTTGTTCTTCTATTGCGGAAATAAGCTTAATCTTTCATCTTCTGTCAGTGCAGTTGTATCTCCTGCATATGCTTTGATTTGTCCAGGAGGTGTTTCATGTATCAGGAGACAAAATCAATTTAAAAACCTGTGGACTAGCACTCTGTGTAAAAACCTGATTGGTGACTGTATTGCTTATTTGAAAAGAGCATTTCATTTTGCCCACTTTTGAAAAATCATAGCAGTATTAGTTCTTACTTTGACTTTTATGGGTGTTGTGCAGCAAAGTGATTTAAGCTTTCATTCTTTAAAGGTGCAGTATGCAAAATTAGAAACAAATTTTCGTTGTCAGTGCTTGAGAATTTTATCCATATAACATCTTGAACTTCTTCAATGACAACCGTACATGATGTCATTGCAGCTTTTTTTGCTGGAAAGTCGTATTTCCTGTTTGATGTGTTACTGAGTTTGTGGATTCAGACTTAGAATTGTCTCTGTACTCCTTCAACAGTATTGACACAATTCAGAGTCTGTAGGTAAAGTTGATTTTCTGCCAAAATAGCAGTTTGATGTTATATCCTGTTATGTGGTGTTTTGCATGTGTGGTCTTGTTATTTTCTTCCCCCACCCAGCCACCCACCCTGATTTTCACCAAGTGTCTCTGCAATGTATGATAGTTCCTTGATTCTCTGGAGAAGAAGCAAGGAGCTGTGTTTTCTGGGTAGCTCAGACCAAGCTATAGGAAAATCTACTGAATCAGAAGTATAGAAGTCTCTCTGTTTTGTATGTAATTTGTTCTTGTACTCTTGGAACATGGGCATCATTCATGACTCTTCGTCAGTTACTGTTGATTGACGAAGACACTTGACAATGTTGATGGCATGTTTACTCTTGAACTTGATGGGCAAACATGCTCTGAGAGCTCATTTTTTTGGCTCTTCATGGACATCATTGCTGGTTTTTTCCCCCAACAGAATGCTACGTTTTTTCTTCCAAAGTAAAAGGAAGAAAGAACACCAACCTAGGTGCTTGTTCTCCAAATTAATGTTAAATGGCGTTGTTAGCTTGCTTGCTTGACATTACATGGCGGAGTTTCTTGTTACTTCTAAAACCTAAAGGTATGACAAGAGTATGGATATTGTCCTCTTGATTTTTTTGAGAGCCTTCTCAAAAAATGGGTGCAATATTTCCCACTGTCACATGAACTGTCTTTTATTGCAAAATGCACATCTAGAGGGCATTTATTGCAAAATGACTTGGACCAACATTTGTGTTTCAAATGCCACTAAACATGGTTTTACACTATGTTCACTAGAAAATAGTTGATATCTAACATTTCTGTAGCCTGAAGCTGCACGCTCTCTATTAGGCTTTCTTTTCTCTGGTGCATGTGAATAGTGCTTCCTACATATAAGCCCAGACTTTCCCCTATAGTGTCTGCAGAGACCATTAGGTAGAAACCCTTCAAATGACATGTCATCAAAACTATTTTCACAAAATTAGTCTTTAAAAATCCTTTAAAAATAATGTTCATTAGAAGGAAATAATAAAATAACTTAGACCAGTTGAAAAGATTGTGCTGAAGCAGAAAGGCTTTTTTCCCCACACCAAGGGAGGAAGAAAAGAGCTTTGCCTTGTACATTTGTGCATTTATTGATATAGTAGGGGGAGGGTTTCAGATAGCCTGTATACTATACACATGGAAATGGAGTCGATGAACACAAATCTTACAAGAATTGTGTGTATCGGTGTGTTTTTGTTAAAAGATTATTCTTGCTTCTGTGTTACCTCTAATATTACACAGGGTCCTCAGAAAATTAACCTTAGTGCATTCAATGTGTGGTCTATGGAGCGGAATTTGTTAGAAACTAACTGATCTTCAGTCGTAAGTAGTTCTGTCATCAAATGGCTTGGTTCTGTGGTCCTTGCCATTCTCCTTCAGAATAACAGCATTTTTGATTCCTAGCTTACTTCTGAAGACCAGAGGCTTGCCACTATATGGACCTTACTGTTTTTTACATATTAATAGAACACCTTGAAATATTCATAACACTAGTAGTGCATAGTCCTCTTCGGGTTTAGCAGCACTGTGATCTTCTTTTACACCTGGTAGCAGGGAATAGTTAAGTTTGGAGAACGTGTCGCTCCGTGTTTGATCTTCTAATTGTGGGGAGCCTATGAGAGTTTCACGTTGCTTCTAAAAGCTGAAGTAACATAATTTCTTATGTATGTTCATTGAGAAAGTATGTGCAATATATGCTCCAGAAGTGTTTGAATGAGAGAACAGAAGTGATTTTCCAAATTAGAAAATGCTGTGGAGAATTTGCCTTTTGGAGAACGTACTACTGTTATTTGTAGCAAAGTTCACAGGTTTGTGAAAACAAAGATGCTAAGCCCTGTCAATAGTGCATTTTTTTGATTGCTATTAAATATAAAGCGTCTTAATTCCTAACATGTACACTAAATGTGGAGGTTTATTCTATTTGCTACTTGGTAGCATTTTTTTTTTTTTTTTTTTTTTTTTTAATATTGAAAATCCGTTTACACTGAAGTAGAAGATAACCTTTCTCTTTCTCCTACAGATCCAGACATTTAATGTAGAGGCACCATGCCAGACTGTGGAAGATTTAACGAATGGGGTTGTGATGGCCCAGGTTCTTCAAAAAATGTAAGACACTGTCTATTTAATTAATTAAATACACAGGGGGCTTTATCTGTAATTCTTTCTGTGCTTAAGTGTATTTTAGTTTACACTTGATAGTCCATAAAGATGTGGCTTTTCCTATGCTTAGCACTTTAATCCGGAACATGACTGGTGTGATTTTTTTTCTTTATACTTTTCAGATAACTATATTAAATGCAAAGAAAAAAAGTTTTATGGAGGTATTTATTCAAGTGTGAGCTTATAGGAAAGTAAGATGGCTTAAAACTAAGATTGCAAATTCAAACTTTTTTGAAAAGTTGGAACCAGTACAAGGTAAGGTATTGGCTTTGATCATTGTTTGAAATTACAGTCAGTGTTATCAGTAATGTTAGAATTGGTTTCATGCAATAAAACTTCTGTGATAAACAGAATGGAACTGTCAAATTCAGTTGTTTGCAAAGATACTACATTCTTGAAAATAAATGAAGGAATAATAGCTGTTAGTCTATATAATGTTTTTGTTCTTTTAAACGTTAAGATTAAATGGGATAAACTGCATTAGTTCAACATCTCAGTGTAACCTGGGATGTTTCTGGGGACTACAGATATTCTCCTCAAATTAATGGTATGGAGAATTACCTATTAACACAAAAACACAACTTATCGTTCATTAGAAACTTAAGCAGCATTTACCAAAGTCAGCAGTCCAAACCGAGTATGCCAGTTCCCACAGACCTATTAAAAAAACCTAAACAACATGATGTTTTCTGTGTAATTTGTTGAAAATGAAGACTGGACATGTACAGAATAGATATGAACAGCTTTCTGTTAGAGTTCTTCTGGTTTGCATCAAAGAACCGTGGAGTGTTTAATTCAACTCACCTGCTCAAAGCAGAGTCTGCCAGACCAAGTGGCCCCAGGATTGTGTCCAGTCAGATTTTGAGTATATGGAAGGATGCAGACTTCACAGCCCTTCCTGGCTAACTGTTCCAATACTCAATTGCCATCACAGTTTTAAAACAAAACCAAAACCCACCACCACAATGCACCATGTCCCCCTGTGCCCCGGCCCCCGCAACGCTCACCCAAAAAAAAAAAAAAAAGAAAAAAGCTGTTGCATTTTTTGCTTTATATTCAGTTTGGGCCTTCTGCCTCTCGTTTATTCACTGGACACCACTAAGAGGGTTATGTAAGGGTATAAAGAAGAAGGGGGACCATCAGGTATTTATACACAGGATTGGCAAGATCCTACTGAGCCTTCTCTTCTTCAGGCTAAACAGACACAGCTTGTTCAGCTTCACCTCATATGACAGATGCTCTAGCCTGTTAATCATCTTAATTGCCCTTTGCTGAGCTTCCTTGTATGTCTGGGTCTCCCTCATACTGGGGAGCAATAGTTCAGATGTGGTCTCACCAGAGCTGAGTTCTGGCTTCACCTTGATTGGCCTGCTGGCAGTGCTCTTCCCAATGCAGTCCAGGATGTGGTTGGTCTTCCTTGGTACAAGACACATCACTGGAATGTGTTCAGCTTGTTTTATACCAAGCTTTTTCTCTACAAAGCTGCTTTCCAACCAGTTGCCCCCCAGTATATACTGGTGCAGGGAACTTGCACTTACTTTGGCTGAAATGCATAAGGTTCATGGGCTGTCAGCCCACTTCTCCAGCCTTTCAGGGTTGTTCTAAATAGCAGTACAACTATCAGGTGTGTCAAAGACTCCTTCCGGTTTTGTATTGTCTGAAAACTTGCAGTCTGTTCCATCATCTAGGTCACTATTAAAGATGTTTAATAGTATTGAACCCTTGGATATGCTCCTGGTGTACTGGACTTTATGCTGCTGCTCGTAACCCTTTGAGCCTGGCAGTTCAGCCATTTTTTAACCTACCTTACTATCCACTTATGCAGGCTATGCTTCATCAGTTTGTCTGTGATGATACTATCCTGACCAGGTAGTCTGTAGTTGGCATCTGTAACAATGTCATTTATGTATGGTAATCCTGGCCATAATCTCTCAGATGGTTCATAATCCATCCCAAGGCAGAACGCATGCATTCCT